CCTTAGGTCCTTGGCTTGCCGAATCAACAAAAAGCCCAGTCCTAGATTTCATGGACCCTTCCAAATCACTAAGAAGGTCGACCCTGTCGCTTATCAATTGCAATTGCCTACCACAGCCCAGATCCATAATGTTTTTCACGTGTCTCAACTCAAGAAAGTGTCTACTCAACCATTAGTAGACCTGGCAAAACGGGTCTGGACTCACAGGTCGGCCCGTACCCGGGTAAATAATATAGGGTATGGGTTCACCATTTTAGACCCCCTTTTTTTTTTTTTTACCCGTACTCGACCGTACCCATTTTCTAAACAGGCAGATTGGGTATACCTGCAGGCACACCTGTAAAAATTTAATTTTTTTTAGCTAAATCCCTAATTCCTAAAATTTCATTGTCCAACTCTCTTCGATTCAACACTCAACAATTTGACTCTTCTCCTCATTCTCTTCTCATTTAAAAAAAAAATAATAAATAATCAATTGAGAAGTCAAAAGAAATGCTGTCGAAATTTTTTAGATCCGAATTTTTGCTCAAAAGAAGAAGAAAGGATTGTGGAAGAAACGAAAAGAGGAAGAAAATGGGATCTAGTGTGCCAAATTTGTTTGAACCATGGCAGCCGAAATTGTCAAGAGTTGGCCAACTATTAATCATAAACCCATCCACAAACAATGAAAAAAAAACAACCATAAACACAAAAGCAACCAACAAATCCTTACCCAGTTACTCAAATAAAGAAAAGAAAATAAAGTAAAAAAATAAATGAAAGGAATAGTAGAGTGAAGAAGAAGAAGAAGAAGAAGAAGAGAGGAAAAAAAAAAAAAAGGAAATGGGAAGCAAAAAAAAGAATAAGGAAATCGATGATGGAGTGAAGAAGAAGAAGAGGAGAGAAAAAAAAAAAAAGAAACGGCAAGCAAATGGATTGTTGAGTGAAGAAGGAGAAGAGGAGAGAAAAGGGAAGGAAAAAAAAAATCATTACCATTTTACTTAGAAATCAGATGTCACTCAGACAGTCAGACTCAGTTGCCTTTATTTCAAGTCAATGTGTAGAAATTATGGGGGTGTAATTGTAAAAAATAAAAACTACAGGAATTTTGGGGTTGTAATAGTCATAATTTAAAACTAATGGGGAGTGAAACTACAAAAATTGAAAATTGGAGAGAGAAAAAAGGGACACCCCCGGGTCCACCCATACACGCATAGGATGGGACCCGTACCCGTACTCGTATCGACTCAACCCCAACCTGGTCCACCTGCCCGTTTTGTCAGGTCTAACCATTAGTCGCTCAACCTCTTCCTGAATTCCTTAATAGCAACCTAGTACTCAATGTAGAGCTTGAACAAGCTATCCATAAACGCCGAATTTTGGACGAGAATTAGTCTTGATTAAGTGGAAGAACTTACCTTCTTGGGATAACACTTAGGAGAGCTATGACTCTATCTGTCACCAATTTCCTTCCTTCCACCTTGAGGACAAGGTGACACTTCTTGGGGAGGGTATTGATGGAGCCGTGGTATCTCAACAATACAAAAGAGGAAGGGGCAAAAAAGGGAATTACTAAAAGCAACATGTGGCAGAATTAGTTACAAGGAATCCGAGTGTGTTGGTAATAAAAATGAGAGACGTGAGGTGTAGTGGGCATTCTGTATTTTCTGGGGAATAGTCTTTGGAGGTACTGGCCCTCAAAGTCCAATTGTTACTTTTCTTTTAGGTTCGTAATTATTTGTTCCTTTTGTTGATGAACTACTGTTTTATGGAATATCAATATAATCTGTCACTTTCCTCTGGTTTGTTCCATTTTTATTTTTGTTATTGCTTGATTGATTAATTTAATTGGTCATTGTGCATGTTGAGTTACTGAGTGTGAGAGAGGAAGTGAGTTGGATTAATTTATAGAAGCCAGTATTCATCACCCGTGCCATTAACAAAGTTTATCTTCTCTTCTCTGCCAACCTTGTTTTTGTCATGCAGCTTGGCTTTCCCATACTTTGTGTTGGCTCTGTCCGTGCCAAAAACACAATCATGCTCACCAATGTCCTTCACGCCGCCATAGGTGGCCTTTTTTATTATGTTTTTAGCTTTGCCTTTGCGTTTAGTTCTCCCTCCAATGGTTTCATTGGCAAGCACTTCTTCGACCTCTAAAATTTTCCCTTCACCTTCATTTGACTATGCTTACTTCCTCTATTAGTGGGCTTTCGTCGTTGCAACTGCTAGAATCACTAGTGGTTCTATTGCCAGACGAATCCAGTTCATTTCATATCTAATCCACTCTTCTTTCCTGACTGGTTTAGTTTATCCAATAGTTTTATTGGTTCTGGTCACCCGACGGTTGGGGTAGTCCAGCTACAATTGATAATAATCTTTTCTACGAAACAGGGGTCATTGATTTTGCAGGTTCCGAAGTCGTTCACATGGTTGGAGGCATTGCCGGTCTTTGGGGTGCTTTCATTGTAGGCTCTCGTATTGGTAGATTCGATCATGCTGATCAACCTGTAGCTTCACGTAGACACAACAGTACACTTGTTGTTCTAGGTTCATCCTGTTGTGGTTCGGATGGTATTGATTGTTAGCGCCAAAAATCATTCTTGGCCCAAATAGAAAAACGGGCCTGACAGTGAAGGAGAAGCCAAGCCCAATCCCAATGCGACCCAATCTGGATTAGGCCCATTTGATACAAGATACAATCGGCCCAAACCACCTGGGCACGAGCCTCCTAATCCCAATCCATTCTCTAGGTCCATGGACGAGTCCAGAGCCCACGGCTCCCTTAGAATATTTTCCTATTCCTGAACAATCTCCTATTCGAGATCACCTTCCTGTTCAGAACACTTTCCTACTCAAAGTTACTTTCCTAATCAGGATCACCTTCCTATCCGGACACTGGTAAGACAGCTGACCATGACCCTAATTCTTCTAGGGTTTGCATCAGAGTCACACTAGGACTCCTACTCCCACCAGGATTGGGAGACCGGACAGTCGCTATATAAATAGAGGCCAGCCCTCTCACAAGGGACACATGACATTACACCTTCACACCCGAAGCTCCTACTTGAGAGTTTCGCATCACTGTCGTAGTCACAGTCTCCGACTAGACTTCTGGTAACCTCTCTACTCTCTAGCCCTCACTATACTAGCCTCTTTCAACCTTGCTGACTTGAGCGTCGGAGTGCCTATGGCAAACACCACCCCGGTGTTTCCCGTTCGCTTCACGCGTTTGTTTCTCTACGGGTGCAGGTGCAGCTTATCGCTAGTGGCCTCAACCTCATGGGATCAGACCCCCCTTCCGTACAGGTAGATTTTTACGTCTACATTAATTCAATCCTGGTTCCTTTTGGAAGATTTTAAAAACTTATGGAGAAAGTGGATCTTACCATGGTCAATGGAGTGCAATTGGAAGAACATCTATCACAACACTTGCTAGATGCTCAGCTGCACTCACCATGCTTTTTGGCAAATGTTTACTTGCAAGTCACTGGAACGTCATTGATGTTTGTAACAGTTTGCTAGGTGTGTTCGCCACAATCTCTGGAGGCTGCTTGGTTATGGATCCTTGGGTAGCTATCATTTGTGGGTTTGTTGCTGCTTGGATCCTCATTGGGTGTAACAAGTAAGCGGAGAAATTCAAGTATGATGATCCCCTAGAAGCTACTCAACTTCATGGAGGGTGTGGTGCATGGGGGATTACTTTCATCGGATTGTTTGCAAAGGAGTCATATTTTAATGAGGTTTATCCAGGCAGACTAGGGAGGCCATATGGGTTGTTTATGGGAGGTGGGGAAAAGTTTTTTAGCAGCACATGTTGTACAATTTTTTGTTAGTACAGGATGGGTGAGTGTTACCATGGGGACATTGTTTTTTATGCTAAATAAACTCAAAAGTTATTGAGGATATCAACTGAGGAGGTGGCAGGAATGGACTTGACAAGTCATGGTGGATTAGCATATGCCTATTATGATGAGAGATGTTGTATGTATAGTATTATTCTTATGATGAACATGGCGATTCAACACAGAGAGGTGGATACATCATACATGATGGCGTAGATTGATTAGTCAATTGTTTGATTTTTGTTTTATATTGGTGTATCTAGTTTTGATGTTCAGTATTATATGCATATATGTCTTATTCAGACTGTAGTCTTGTACAGTTAAGTTAGTTTCGAAACTTTTTTTTTTTGTTGAACGGGAGTGTTCGGCCAGTTTGCACGCACTTCAATTGATCCTCTAAGGCTTTGAAGTTTACAGCTGAGTAAATCCCCTTAGCGACCATTCCTATTAACAACCCAAATGGATCAAACTTATGACCTCTTGAATAATACATCCGACGGTTTTCGTTTTTCCTATGTTATTTAGTTTAGTTTATTAATTTAGTATAAAAATATTAGTCATTGTTGGGACTCTTGAAATTGATTTGAATTCGTATTTTAATTTTTAAAAATTACAATTGAATCACAAATAAAACAGAGGCTAAGAAATATTCTGTGTGAATGCTTTATGCTTCGGCTTTGCATCTTAGATGATGATGATCCACTTAAATTTAGAAAATGTGCCGTTTCCAGTTTATTGATTTATTTTTAGCGCGAGATTGTTATCCAGTGAAAGAATCTGGGGCGATTAATTAAGGAAATGAGCGGGTGAGATTTGTCGTGTAAAGTGTTAGATTGATCCACGACTAATCAATCGCAGTAATTTCAACCCTGGTTTCCCTGCTATTTCCTCTGTTACAAATACAATAAAGCAGTTCTAAAGAACAGTTCAGGTAAAAAAAAAAGTCAGTTTCAAAATTCATGCAGTGACTGAGCATAAATGCCCGGCTGTCCTGACACACACATGAACATGGGCAGTGATTTTATCTTTGATTCAAATTTCAATATCCGACTGAGAACATGGCGGCTACCTTGAAATGCCATCAGTACCAAACATTAGTTTAAACTTTCTCTATAACAAGACAGTAATAAATCACACATAACTTCCATGTTAGCAAGCCAACATATCACTTTTATGGTATAGATTATTGAAAAATATTTGATAGAGTCAGCACCCAAAACATTGGAACACACTTGAGATTATCATTATTACCATAATGCAAGTCTTTTGGAAGCGTTTAGCCGCAACACATGTTTAAAAGTTTAAAGCAAACCTTCTTCAAGATCATAACAGAGACATAACAGTACTTTTCTTCAAACAGTCTAGTTTCCAGTTTCCACTTACGAGGGGATGCAATTTCCATGTAGCCCTTAATAGCAGCAACAAGATATGTCCATATATTATAAGAACTTGATGCAGGGCTAATATAATAGGTCATTTCAGTCATACATCTTAAGCACACAACGGAGACAGCCCCCTTCGTGCATCAAGTGAAATGCTTCATTGATCTCCCCAAGACTCATACTGTGAGTTATGTACTCATCAACCTTGATTTCCTGCATTATGAACAAAGGAGGAGAATAATATCATAAGTTCTGCCAACGTAAATGAACTCAAATATTGAATACATAAACTAGATGACAATTACCTTCTTCATGTACTTTTCTACAAGCCAAGGCACTTGTGAACGGCTCTTGAAACCACCAAAAGCTGTTCCTTTCCAAACACGACCAGTCACCAACTGGAAGGGCCGGGTTGATATCTCTTGCCCTGATGCTGCAACACCCACAATAACTGATGTTCCCCAGCCCTGAAAGTTTTGACCATCAGATAATTGTTCTACCTTTTACACATTAGTTTATGCTACAAATTCCGGAAACACTGACCTTGTGACAGCACTCCAAAGCAGCCCTCATCACAGAGACATTTCCAATACACTCAAAGCTATAGTCAACACCACCATCAGTGAGATCAACAATGACCTGCTGAATTGGTTTATCATGGTCCTTTGGATTTATAAATTCAGTGACTCCAAACTTTTTTGCTGGCAGTATCAATTTTGCAAGTATAAGTATACAGCCATAGTGAGGGAGAGGGGGTGTGGGGCAAATACATTATGAAAGTAACAAAAGCATAGCAAGTTCCACTTTAATCATTTTTCCAGACCAATGCACCAGAAACCCCAACAACAAAGAGAGACAAAGACAACCATAACACATATATCATATCCACGATTTATCAAATTATAGATGATAATCTACTATATGATACAAGATATGTACCTGTATCAAACTTTTTGTTGTCAATATCAATGCCAATTACACGTGAAGCTCCAGCTGCTTTTGCACCCTCAGCAACCTATCAAGTCAAAATAAAATTAATATTTTAAAAACTATGGCACAAGCACAAGAACCTGTCTCAAAACCTCCTAATTCCCAGCCAAAAACAGATAAAAAAGGATAGAAAGTAAGGAAATAGGAGAAGAAACTGAAGTAGAAGGTTATATTAGATGCTTACAGCAAGGCCAACAGTTCCAAGGCCAAAAATAGCAACAATAGACCCAGGTTCTACTTTTGCAGTGTTCCAAACTGCTCCAAGGCCTATAAAACCAACAATTTATTACCTTGTTCAAAATTTCAAACAGAACGGATAAATAAAAAAGGTTTGCAGAATGATCAAATCGATAAAAATTACAGTACATTATCTGCTAAGAAATAAGAATTTTAGGTTCGTGACCTAGGAAGAAACTATGATGTTATGGAAAACCCATACCAGTAGGAACACCACAGCCAAGAAGGCACACTTTATCCAAAGGTGCTTGTGGATCAATCTTTGCAACACTAACATCATGTACAACTGTGTACTGGCTAAATGTAGAGGTTCCCATGAAATGATAAAGAGGCTTTCCGTTTATTGAGAAACGGCTCTTTTTATCATTCATCATGACTCCAACACCAGTAGCACCCCGAACCTTACCACAGAGATTTGTCTTTCCTGATTTACAAAACTTGCACTCTCCGCATTCAGCCTGGTAACAAGGGATAACGTGATCTCCAGGTTGAACTTCGGTCACACCTTCACCAACACTCTCCACAATCCTGTGTCAGAAAAATAAAAGAAGAAAAAATCAATCAGAACTTTCCCTTCAGCGTTTAAAGAAACCAGAGGCTGAATATGTGGTATCAGATATATGGAGTAGATACCCAGCAGCCTCATGGCCAAGGATACACGGGAAGAGACCCTCAGGATCCTGGAAGGAAAATCAAGCGAAATTCACATCAGTGTCAAGCTAACAAATAACAGCTAATATATCATCATATTAAATGTTGAAGAGATGCGGAGGAAAATGTAACTAAGATAGTAGTATCGGAAAAATGAAAAAGGCATTCATCAAATTAGCTGCACCTCAGACCCTTTACACACCTATTTCAGCATGCCTGCACCATTCCTTTTCTCTAAATTACATTTGGCACTAACAAAAATCATAAAATTCAGCAACAATCTCAATACAAACTAAGAACATTTTTCCGCATTAAAACCATAAACAGAAAACAATAATAAAACAAAATACCTTAAAGCATTTTAGATAACATTCAGGAAAAGAAAAACCATTATTATCACGAGGTCATTTAAGACGACTGAAGCTATTTGTTCTAATACTGCAAATGATGGAATAAATTCTTTCTCTCTTATCAACAAATCAAAACCAACGCAGATAGTCAAATAACCCATTGCCGTATGTAACCAAAATCATACTCAAAACCTTAACAGAAAGTTGTCCACTCAAAGTCACAAGCCCATTTGAACAAATAACCCATCACTCAAAAAAAAAACATTCAAATCACAAAACAACACTATCACTTTACTAATCAAACCACGAGATCACTGACATTTCAACACTAAACATAAAACAAAACAAACTTCAATATAAAAAACGTTTAAAGAAACAAGTACCTTGCCACCCCAGGTGTAAGCATCAGTGTGGCACAGAGCAGTGAAGAGTATCTTGATTCGGACTTCACCAGCCTGCGGCGGAGCCACCTGAACATCCTCTATCACCAATGGCTTATTGGGTTCCCAGGCCACCGCGGCTTCACAAACCCCAGATCACAATCACGTAAAAGATCAGATTTTTCACACACAAATTTAAGAAAAGAGAGTGTAAAGGAGTACCTTTGCATGTGATGACTTGACCTTGAGTAGCCATGACCAGTAAATGGAGTGAGAGAGATGATATTATTGAGAGGTTATTAGAGTCACAGATAACTATGTACCTTTATTTAGCTGTTGGCTAGCTTTATCTTTGAATTTATATGATTGACCCTCTGAATTATTGAAATTTTGTTTATTTATTTTATAAATGTGA